AAGGCTGTGCACAGTACATACTTATATTCAAACATCCCTTTTGCCGTTAGTCACAGAAATACTAAATATGTATATGAATGGCTTTTCACAGTCTGTATGATGACTGGAAAAATAGCTAATATAGTATATTCTAAATGATAAATCTTCATCTTCATATATAAAGACATCATATTACTAATTTTCAAATTTATCAAGAAGACACTGAACAAAACCTTAAAAAAGTGGATATTGTTTTAATGTGATGTATGATTTACTAAATTAAGCTTAAGAGCATTGCTATATCTGTATTTCTCTCTTTCAATATGTGCTTACATACAAGTAACAACTTTGTGAGTATTTTCTCCTTACAGATTTTCAGTAATTTATATCAGAAGTATATAATCAAGAAAGTTTAGTGTTTCTGTCACATAAATATTTTATTTATTCTAAAGTAAACCGTTTTGGCGTTTTTTAATGTGGGGTTGCCTTATCAAATTTTGCATAGCCTACATTACAATCATAGAAGTTTGAGTTTTGGAAGAGACTGTAAAATTCATTTCATTCATTCAGCATCCATTTGGTAGTAGTGTGCTTTGAAGACTTAGTAAGACATTAACACCTAGGACAACATTTATTACTTTGCAGACTGTCATTGTATTAATATTTTACCCAAACAGTACATGAAATTACAGTACTTTTTTTCTTTTTCTTGCCAAATTTTAAGTAGAGTTGAAAACAGAATTATTTTTTGGAGATATGATCTTGCCCTGTTGCCCACGCTGGAATGCAGTGGTGTGATCTTGGCTCACTGCAACCTCTACCTCCTGGGCTCAAGTGATCCATCCACCTCAGCCTCCTGAGTAGCTGGGACTTGAGTGCCACCAATCCTGGCTAATTTTTATTTTATTTTATTTTTGTAGAGACAGGTTCTCACTGTGTTGCTCAGGCTGGTCTCAAACTGAGCACAAACAATCCCTCCGCCTCAGCCTCCCTGCGTGCTGGGATTACAGATGTCAGCCACCGTGCTTGGCCCCAGAATTTTATTTTCTTTGAAATAGAAAATTCATGGAAGGATTCTGCCACTTTATTCACCTTTCTGACAGTGCAGTAAAGTGCAGATTAAAGTATAGTTCCCTGTGTAATAGCCAATTACCCATTGAGTAGAATCACATAAAGAAGTACAGGGAGATCACATGACTTGCCTAGGTTATATATTGAGTCAGTAGGAGAAGTAGAAATACTAAGTGCAGATTCACAAGTCAGTTTAGCCCAGAGCTGTGGGTACTTTCCTTGTGGTTATTACCCGGAAGGCTTTACAACCACTGATGCCCCCTTCTGGCTCCCTCGTCTCACTTAACACATATGCAGTCTTGATTGTTTTAATAATTTTTCTACAACATTTATACACACCTCACACATAATTTTCATTGTTTTTTTAAACCTCAGTTTATAGCCTTAAATCAAGTTATACTCAGGAATGTACATTGTACCCTTAAGCAGAAAGACCTTAATATTAGTTACAGCTGAAGACAGAGCTTAATTTTTAAGTACATTTTGGTTTTTCCCTTTCTGTATGCCTTTTATAGGTGTTCACTTTTAGAAGCGAGTCTCTTGACTTTGCCTAATACTATAAAGAATTGCAAACATTGTATTGACATAATTGGTTGTTATGGAAGTCATTTTTAATAGAATGACCATACCTTATTTATTAAAAAATAATAGACTTTATTTTTTAGAGCAGTGTTAGGTTAACAGTAAAACTGATAGGAAGGTATAGAGATATCCCATATATTCCTTTCCCCTATGCGTGCATAGCCTATCCAATTATCAATATCCCCCATTAGAGTGATATGTTTGTCACAATAGAAGAACCTATATAATTATCACTGAAGACCCCAGTTAATATTAGGGTTCACTTTTGGTATCATACATTTCATGGATTTGAACATGTGTGTAATGACAATATATCCACCATTGTAGTACTATATAGCATAATTTCTACTACACTGAAAATCCTCTACACTCCTGTTTTGCATTTTCAGAAATGTCATATAGCTGGGATCCTACAGTATGAAGTCTTTTCAGATTTGCTGCTTTCACTTAGTAGTATGCATTTAAGGTTTCTCTGTGTCTTTTCATGCATTGATAGCTCATTTATTTTTAGTACTAAATAATCTCTTGTCTGAAGGTACCACAGTTTATTCATTCACCTACCGAAGGACATCTTGATTGCTTCCAAGTTTTGCTAAGTATAAATAAAGCTGCTGTACCTTCCATGTGCAAATTTTTGTATACATGTAAGTCTTCAACTCCTTTGGATAAATACCAAGGAACATGTTTGCTGGATTGTACGGTAACAGCATGTTTAGTTTTGTGAGAAACTACCAAACTGTCTTCTAAGGTGGTTGTATCATTTTGCATTTCCAATAACAATGAAATGAGGGTTCTTGTTGCTCCACATCCTCACCAGCATTTGGTAGTGTCAATATTCTAGATTTTGGCCGTTTTAGTAAGTGTGTAGTAGTTTCTCATTTTTGTTTTAATTTGGATTTCTCTACTGACATACGGTGTGGAGTATCTTTTTATATATTTATTTGGCATCTGTGTAACTTCTTTGATGAGGTATCTGTTTAGGTCTTTGGCTCACTTTTAAGCTGTGTTGTTTTCTTATTGTTGAGTTTTGAGAGTTCTTTATATATTTTGGATAACGTTCCTTTATATCGGACATGTCATTTACAGATACTCTCTCCCAGTCATCTTTGGCTTGTCTTTTTTATTCTCTTAACAGTGTCTTCCCCAGTATAGATTTTTTGTTTTTAACTTAATGAAGTCCAGCTTGTCACTCCTTTCTCTTATGGACTGTAGCTTTGATATTGTATCTAAAAAGTCTGTTTGTTCAAAATAATAATGATTTGGATCTGTTATATCAATTAAGAATGAAAAAAAGTTATTTTGCCTTTATGTGTTCTTTCCCTAATGCTCCCTCTTTATGTGGATGTGAGTTTCTGACCTATCTCCTTTAACATCTTTCTAAAGAACTTTAAAAACCATTTCTTGTGAGGCAGGTCCACTAGCCTCAAATTTTCTTGATTTTTATTTGCCTGAGAGGATATTTATTTCTCCTTCACTTTTTAAAATAAACAGGGTCTCGTCATGCTGCCCAGGTTGGTCTTCAACTCCTGGGCTCAAGCAATCCTCCCAAGTATCTGGGATTACAGGTATGTGGCACCATGCCTGGCTTTCTTCTTCACTTTTACAGGGTAATTTCAAAGGGCACAGAATTTTAGGGTGGTGGGTTTTTTCCTCAACACTAAATATTTTACTCCACTCTTTTTGTGTTTTTAATATTTGTGGATACATAGTAGGTGTATATATTTATGGGGAACTTGTGATGTTTTGATACAAGCATGCAATGTGTCATAATCACATCGTGGAGAATGGGGTATCTTTCCTCTTAAAGCATTTATCCCTTGTGTTACAGATAATCCAATTATATTATTTTAGTTATTTTTAAATGCACAATTAAATTATTATTGACTGTGGTCTCCTTGTTATGCCATCAAACAGTAGGTCTTATTCATTTTTTCTACATATATATTTTTGTACCCATCACTCCACCCTTTTTGCTTGCACTGTTTCTGAGGAAAAATTGGATGTAATAATCTTTGCTCCTCTGTAAGATTTTTTTTCCCCCACTCTGGCGTCTTTCAGGATTGGTCTTTATCTTTGATATTCTGTAATTTGAATATGATATCCTTAAGTGTAGTTTCTTTGGCATTTACCTCGTTTGGTGCTCTGTGAGCTCCATGGATTTGTGGTTTCATATCTGACATTAACCTGAGGACATTTTTAGTCATTATTGCTTTACATTTTTTTCTGTTCTTTTCTCTTTCTTCTAGAATTTTTATCACACATATGTTATACTTTTTGTAGTTGTCCCACATTTCCTCCTGGGTTTTTGTTGTTGTTGTTGTTGTTGTTGTTGTTGTTTTGTGGGTTTTTTTTTTTTTTTGTCTTTGCATTTCAGTTTTGAAGTTTTCTTTTGAGATATTTTCAAACTCAGAGATTGTTTCCTGAGTTTTGTCCATTCAACAGCATTCTTGATTTCTGTTACAGTGTTTTTGGTCTCTAGCATTTCTTTTGGTTCTTTCTTAGATCTCTCTGCTTGTACTTCTCATCTGTTATTGCTGTCTTCTTTATCCCTTAGAGCCCTTAGCATATTAATCACAGTTGTTTTAAATTCCTGGTCTTATAATTCCAACATCCCTGCCATAGCTGTGTTTGGTTCTGATGCTCCTTCTGTCCTCTTCAAACTGTGTTTTTATGTTGGGAGAAGAGAAGTGTTCTATTGTCCTATGATTAAGTATCAGTTTTTTAGCAAGCCTGTGCCTCTTGACTGTGAACTTCACAAGTGCTTCTCAGTGTTTTCATCCCTTCTCCAGTTAGACAGATGGCTAGAGTGAGCTGGAGTTGGGTATTTTCTGTCTCCCACCTGGAAGGCTAGTGCCAACTGGAGTTGGATATTTTCCTTCCTGTAAGTCAGTTAGGCTCTGTAGAACTCCAATAGGTTAAGCTCTGTTTAAATAGTTTCCTCTGTGGATTGACCTTGGTGAGAAGAACAGAATGATCTGGCATATTTTAAAAATGGTGTGTCCTTTCCTTTGCTGGAAGCACGAGTGGATTTTTCTCCGGTATTCACTGTAAGAACCAGATCAGGCTTCTGGAGGTTAAACTCAACAGAAGTGAGGCGCCTCCTTATGGAGGCTCCTGCATTTTTCAGTTTTTACAGTTGTCCACACTGACTCCAGCAGTTAATTGCTGTTTAAGTTTTCTTACACTGGCACTAGATCCCATGGAGGTTTCTGCTTCTGGGTTTCTACTCCAATAAGTTATAATTCTCTGTATTTATATCTGTCTCTCCAATCTGGGGGGCAATGGTTTACCCTATGACTTTACTTCTCTCATAGATCCAAGAAGAATTGTTGATTTTTCAGTTTGTTGAGATTTTTATTTGTTGTTAGGATGAAATGGTGACTTCGAAGCTTCTTACATGCCAGACCAGAAACCAGAAATCCCAGCTGAATGTCACAGACTGACGTGGACTACACTGAAGCATTAAAGAGAATAAGTTGTGGTTAGTTGTGGTTGGGTTTTAAGTCGGTGAAACAAAGTAAGGTTTTTAATTTATCCAAAGTTACACATCCTGCTAGTGACACAGGTGGGAATAGAATCTAAATATTTGGACTCCCAATTAAATTACCTTTCTATGTCACTAAATTCCACTTTTCTGAAAGGTGGTATGAAGGGTTCATATAGGGAAATATTACAGCAAGGCTTAAGTTATTGTTTCTAATACCATATTCATTTAGATGTTTTCTCCCTCCCCCCTCCTTTTTTTTTTAACCTTCTTTAATAATTTTCCTTTTAGTTCTGGTTCCTGATGGTACTGAATATTAAGAAGATCATCTGCCATTTTTGAGGAGGAAATATCTAATAGTATAATCTTCCTCTGTGTTACAGCCAGAAGTATAACTGAAGCACCAATCTGCCTTTCCCCTTTATTTTGATTTACAGAATATGTTAAAATCGATAATAAGATGCAAACAAAAAATCATTCATTGAAACTTAATAAGCTTAATACAAATTCAGCACCATAATTGCAAGTTTAACATTATACTCCATTTTAATATTAATATTTGATCATACAATGGATGTCTGCATGTGAACCTTTTATTTACTGTGGAGGTCGTGGTATACAGTACTAAAGAAGACGTTTAACTAGAGCTCAGTTTTTTTGATGAGCTCCCAGGTTCCCATCGCAATTTTAGACAACACATGCTGTTTTACTGGAAGAGTAACTAGAGGATATAGTCTGATCACTCTCTACCTCCCGTGGTAAACCTTCTGTTTTTGTGAATTTGATAGTTAAACTTGCCATCTCTGTTAGATGCTGCTAAATCAAACTAATAAAATGACTGCCAAGCTCCAGCCGCTCTTTGTTTTATTCCTTTAAACATAGATTCCTAAATGGTCATGATCTGGTTTGTCCAAAACCACCTTAACTCTGAAAGCACTAATATCAAAAATATAAATTTTAAATTCTAAATGAAAGAGAGGAAGGAACCTCTTCATAAGTGAAAGCATTCCTTAAACAAATGAAAGCAAGCAGAATTTTTCACGGACATTTATTTTCACTTTTCTGACCATTATATGATTTTCCTAGCAATAAAAAACAATTCCCTGCAGTCCCTCCATATTTAGTTGTTGAAAGAGAAAAGTACATTAAATCTTAATGAGTGTACTACCTGTATTAGCGTCTGGTGTTACTGAATTTTTACCGTCATCTAAAAGCAGTAATCATTCTTTACCTGGAGGAAGTTTCTAGTAATCTGTTTTATTAGCTGACTTTTCTAGCCTTCCTTTCAGTTACAGGATTTATTGAAAACTACCTCATATACATATGCACATATACACATATATGCATATATATATATACACATATGCCTTTAGATCTCTGTGTATGTACACATATAGACACGTACATGCATGTTTTTGTGTGTATATGTTTTATGTGTATCTGTATGCTCCTTTCTAAATAGCATTCTATTTCATACCTTGGAAAAATATAAAATTAAAAAATGAGGTCAAGATGGCTCCTTTTAAGAAATAAGTTGTTATAACAGTTCCTTTCAGCTTCACATCATAGGTGTTAAGAACACTTGAGTATTTTTTTTTTTTTTTTTACGTAAATTAACAAAGGAAGAAAAGAATCAGTGGAAATGATTCCAAGTGTTTAGGGAAATAAGAACACCGAGAATAATATAAAGCAAATATGTAACTGAAAGTATCAAGAAAAATAAAGTAAAAATCAAATAGATGCTAAAATATGTTTAAATTAAAAATACTGGGGGCGGAGCAAGATGGCCGAATAGGAACAGCTCCAGTCTCCCAACTCCAGCGTGAGCGACACAAAAGACCGGTGATTTCTGCATTTTCAACTGAGCCTCTGCTGCTGACACCCCAGGCAAACAGGGTCTGGAGTGGACCCTCAAGCAATCTCCAACAGACCTACAGCTGAGGGTCCTGACTGTTAGCAGGAAAACTACAACACAGGAAGGACACCTACACCAAACCCATCAGTAACGTCACCATCATCAAAGACCAGAGGCAGATATAAACAACAAAGATGGGGAAAAAGCAGGGCAGAAAATCTGGAAATTCAAAAAATAAGAGCGCATCTCCCCGGCAAAGGAGTGCAGCTCATCGCCAGCAACGGATCAAAGCTGGACGGAGAAATGACTTTGACGAGATGAGAGAAGCAGGCTTCAGTCCCATCAAACTTCTCAGAGCTAAAGGAGAATTACGTACCCAGCACAAAAAAGAAATAAAAACTCTTCGGAAAAAAAAAAAGTGGCAAACATTGATGATAGAGTAACTTAATGGCACAGAGAAGGTCCCTAACAGAAGAATGAAGAGATGAAAACCAATGACACGAGAAAATAGCGTGACCAATGCACAAAGCTTCATAACCGACTCGATCAACTGAAGAAGAGTATCAGCAATTGAGATCAAATGACATGCAAATGAAAGCACGCGGAAGAGAAAACAAAAAAACAAAAAGAAGAAAGAAAAGAAAAACGCTGCAAGAAATAGGGCTTATTACAAAAGACCAAATCCTAACGTCTGATGGGCTCCTGAAGTGAAGGGGGAACAATGGAACCAAGTGAAAACACACTCCTTCCAGGATATATCGCAGCGAGAAACTTCCCCAACCCTAGGTGGGCGCGCCAACATTCAAATTCACAGGAATACGAACGAACGCCACAAAGATACCCTCGAGAAAGCAACTCAAAGACACCAAATTGCCAGAGTCACCCAAAGTTGAAAATGAAAGGAAAAAATCTAAGCGCGGCAGCCAGAGAGAAAGGCGGTTAACCACAAAGGAGCCCATTCAGACTAACAGCAAGATCTCTCGCGGCAGAAACTCTACAAGCCAGACAGAGGTGGGGCGCAATTATTCAATTCTTAAACAGAAACAAGAATCTTTAACCCCAGAAATCAATCCAGCCAAACTAGAAGTTCACTAAGTAGGAGCAAATACAACTCCTTTACAGATAAGGCAACATGCTTAGAAGATTTTGTCACCACTAAGGCCTGCCTTACAAGAGAACCTGAAGGAACAACATCCAACATGAAAGGAACAACGGTACCCAGCCATTTGCAAAAACATGTCAAAAATGTAAAAGACCATCGAAGGCTAGAAGACCAAAACACGGCATCACTAACGAGCAAAAATAACCAGTTACATATCAAAATGGCAGGATCCAAGTTCACACATAACAATCTTAACCTAAATTAATGGACTAAAATGCTTCCAAATTAAAAAGACACAGACTCGGCAAACTGGACTAAAGAGCTCAAGACCCACATCAGTCTGCTGTATTCCGAGCACCCATCTCACACGCGGCAGACATAAATGGCCCCAAAAAATAAAGGATGGAGAAGATCTACCAACGCAACATGGAAGAAAAAAAAAAAGCCAGGGGCTTGCAATACTAAGTCCTATAAAACAGACTTTAAACCCAATCCAAAGATCAAAAAGACCAAGAAGGCCATTACATAATGGCTAAAGGGATCAAATTCAACCCAGGCAAGAGCCTAACTATCCTAACATTATATAATGCACCAATCAAGGAGCACCCAGATTCATAAGCAAAGTCTTAGAGACTTACAAAGAGACTTAGACTCCCATACAATAATCACTGCGAGACTTCAACACACTCCACTGTCAACATTAGACAGATCAACGAGACAGAAAGTTAACAAGGATAATCCAGGATTGAACTCACTCTCTGCCAGCAAGCAGACCTAGTGAGACATCTATAGAACTCTCCAC